TATAATATATATATATATATAAATATGTTCAATTTTTTGGTAACTATATTTTGGACCGACATTTTCTTGATGGGAATTATTTTATATATTATATGTAAGTATTTTTTAATTTTTAATTTTTAAGTTTATGTGCATTCATGCATGTAATTGTTTGAAGACAAAAAAAAAAGGTTTTATTTTTATAAAATAATTAAAAATTAATAAATATTTTTATACTATATTTACGTAATTCGATAGTGTATTTATATTCACGAATAAAACTAATAATAAAAATATTTTACTATGATAAAAAAAATACATTATCAATAAATTAACGAACATATTTATAAAAAGATTAATAGAGTTTTTTACAAATAAAAATTCTCTAAAATATAAATTAAATATTTATCAGAATAAATAAATATAAAAAAAATATATAAAATATTTATTATAATATAAATAAAAATCACTAAAATTTAAGATACATCAACAAATCTTCCCATTAGCTTAAATTTTTTCTATCATCAAGTCAGCTAACCATCTTGCCGTACCGTCTCGCCGACTGTTATCACTGGGATGTTGTTAAGTATTATATATTCCAGCTAAGTTTAGACCGCATCTAAACTTGCTATATGTTTTATGAATAAACTGACATCGGTCGTCAATTTCTTCACACGCAACACTAATAATTAAATCGAAACTTAAATTTTTATTTCGAACAAAAAATTACGTAACTAAGAAGTAAATATTCGTTTAGTTATCATTTAAATATTTTTATATTATATTATATTTATATTTATATGTAAAAATTTTGTATTTTAATATTCATTTCATTAGCAAAATATGTATATACATACAGACACATATATATATATATATAAATGTATATTATAATCATATCATATCAACTACATATATAATACAACAGGAAATAAAAACAAACTACCATAACCAAAATGAAAAGTCAACCAAAGAATTCAATACATGTCTAATAATATAATATATAAGCGAGTTGAAATATTGGCTTGACAATCTCCAAGCTGACCTTAGAGAATAAGTCAAGATATATATATATATATTTTTTAATATCAATAGATATTTTAGGATAGATATTTGTTGAATATATATTTTATATATTTAATTTCCTCCAAATATATATTTAAATATTTATATTTATTAGCAAAAAATATCTAATTCAAATAACATGATATTTCCCATGTACGAAAAAATATAGTTATATTTATTAATATATATATATATGTAGTAAATTATTACATACATACATATACATATATATATATATGTAAACACGTTTTGTGGGCTATTAAAGGAGGAGGCCCATGGAGTTAAAATAACTCGGGCTCATCTCTTAGCGAAAAAGCCTTTTGAAGGGTTTGATTGTTATTTAAATTGAAATTTTACAAAGACGACATGTTCAGAATAATCTGAATTATTTTTGTAAAATTCATAAGCATATTGTTGAGAATATAAGTGTTATGTCCACGATCTAATTATTTGTGTAATATATTGAATACATTATTATTTAACAATTTATTTTAATATACGACAATAGTATTTTATTATCATATTTATTATCTTATCGTTCAATTTATGTGATAAAATCTTTAATTAAATTTATAAGTTTTATATCAAGATGGAGATATTGGTAATGAGAGTAAAAACTTTTATGATTTAATTTAAAATATTATTAATCGTTTGATCATCAAAATGAGACATTAATGATCCAGTAAGACTAATATATATGTAATAGTTTTTATAAAATAAAGATTAGTTAATCTCATTAACTAAATAACATATACGAATTATGCATATGGAGATATGATCATTGAACCGACTCAATTGAGAATTTTTAATAGTTAATATTACATTAAACTGTCAATAGAATATTCTCTTATTTTGATGAGATATAAGAATTTTTTTAAACTTGAGATCATCGTATTAATTGATAAGTAATTTATTATATTTTAACTCTGAATACATATAGTCATAAAATTGTAGTTGAAATGATATTGGGTGTGATTAAATACATGTAAAATTAATTATTAATTAAGACAGAATCTGTTAACTTTGATAATAAGTTTAAACTCTATGTTATAATTTATTATAATAACTAAATTAAGATTTTGGCAAAAAACAGTTGAATAAAAAAATAATATAGTTTCTTATGTAATTTATTAGACAATTATAATTGACATGAAATATAATTGGTTACCTATTGAGATTTGACGGTTAAATCATATTATAGGGTTCACCCGAAGTAATAATGATAGAATGAAGTATTATATATTTATTTAGCAGGTTCTTCAGAATAATTATACATTTTATACTATTTGATCGTAAAAATGTATTGCTAGATGTCAATTTTAATTAGTAAATTAATTTGATCAATTTACTACCGGTTTAGTGTTTAACCTATAGGGTCGCATGTTAACGAATGGTTTAACTTTTGCTGAATAGATTAATTATTTTAATTATTTGAGAATTAAATTAGATAATTTAATTTAATTAAATAAATAAGATATTTAGTTTAAATAAAATATTATAATATTTTTTTGTTAGCATTAAAAATATAATTAATATTTGAAATAAATTAATTTTTTTTATTTTTAAAATAAAAATTTAATATTTATATTTTTTTAATTATTATATTATTAATATAATAATATAATCTGTGTAATTATTATAATAATTTATATTATTGTAAAATTTAATTTAAAATTAAATTGATTCATAAATTTATTTTATTAAATATTAATAACTAATATATATATATATATATATATATATATATATATATATATGAGATATATATATGTAAATATTTGAGGGTTAAAAAAAAAATTGGATGAATCCAAATAAATTTGTAGGGAGAGTCTAAAAGAAACTCCTCCACCCATGTCACTTACATATATATATATATATATATATATATATAATATAAGTGTGGAGGTTTTGAAAAAAGTGTGGATAAGAGAACCAGAAAAGGTCGCCCCCCATTTTGCCGTTAAAGGTTTGGGAGAAAATTTTAACACATTAATTTATTATTCGCGCTTTCTGTTAATTAAAAAATTAAACAATAAAAATTAATTTTAGTGTGAATATACACAAAGTATTTATATTTTTAAACAATTTTAATTTAATAATTTAATATTAATTATATTTTAAATTTAATATTTAATATATAATATAATTTTTAAATACAAATAAATTAAATTAAATTATTTTTTATCGTATTATGTTCATATTATAATCCATTACGTATATATATATATATAGTTATAACTTTATTTTATAATTTACATTTCCTCTAAGAAATTTCATATTTTACCATGCAACAACCTGGTAAATTCTCTAATTTACAGCTTTTTCCATGAATTTTTTTTTTTTTTTTTTTTTACATTTATAACCCAAAAAGTTGATCTTATTAAAATTTTCACACTGAAAATATGAGGAACAATTGATACATCATCATCTTATGAACATCAAACCAATGGCAGTGACTAAAAGAGTAGAAGGAACTCCAAATTTAAGGTGCTTCCAGAAAGTTAAGGTGTAACTCAGATGAGGTGCTCGTCGAGCTTGTTCGCAGACTATCAGATTGGCCGCCGACCCTAAAAGGGAGAGGTTTCCGGCGATCGTACTCACCCATGCTAAGATCAGCCATGCCTTCTTTTCATCGGCCGCAGAAATTGCAGCCGCCGATGCAGCAACTCTTCCTCCAAGCAAGAGCACTAGATTAAAAAGAAAAAGACTTGAACTTTAGAATCTCAATCTCATTGCATTCATGGCTATCATAAGCTAGGAGTATGCATCATAGACCGTGAAAATTAAGCGGTTTTGGTCTCTGGATAGGTTGGTCTATATTTTCTTGCAAGCCATTCACCCAAAAAATGAGACAAATGTATTTGCATTACATGTATATATATGTACATGGATATATTTATGTATGTTGAGCAAGAATTCCTGGAGGTAGCTGGTATGCATAAGGGAAAACATCAACCTACCAGTTGGGACATTCGAAGCCAAGTTTGATAGGAGGAGTATGACCAGGGCAAGAACTACTACTCCACTAGCGTGATTAATCTTTGCGTGAGGTTCCATCAAATCCCATAAGGCGCTAGGAATTCCAGTTTTGTTGAAGCCATCAACGGTTATGAACATCCCACAAAAGAAAATTAGAAGTGAATAGGATACCTGGCCCATCACAATATACAATTGAAATGAGAATATGTTCTCAAATAAGCAATCGACCTTTCCAATTCCCCGTTAACATTTTTTATTATATTTCGAACTTTTAAATCTACAATAACTGATCGAAATACTTCGTGTGAATTTTCATTTTACCTCTATTCTTTTACGTGTTACGAAAACTAGAAGTGTAGAGCTCAAATTCTAGTTCCCGCTCCCGTTTTGCTAATTAATTTCAACGCAATCAATCGTAAGTTCATGCTCAATCTATATTTTCAATCTATTAAACTTGTCCACGAAGAAATGAATCGATATCTAAGTTATGAAAAATATTATACTATTTGTGATGATTGGTTTCACTTGGTTATTTCACAAGATCGAACTATCCTTTAATGCGATCAATTTGGTAACGAGAATAGAGGTTTACCTTTTCTAGGCATGGCCGAGCATCTTTGAAATCAAGAACAATGAGAGCAAGAGCAGCAGTGATTGCAGTCCAAGACATGTTCAGACCCATAAGCAAAGAAATCAACATGCCTATAGTAACAAGATAAACACATGATTTCCAAAACAATCTTTTCCACCTCATTGTTTTGGTTTCCTTTTCATCGAAAGACTGAAACGAAAACGCATCCGTAAAGGATTCCATGGATGTTTCATTCTTTTCGGTCTCATCTCTTTTCTGCGAAGATACATCACTAGTCACATCTTTTGATGCACTCGAGTTCCTTGCGGACTCAAAAGCACTACTAGATGATCTGTTTATTTCACTCTCACTCAAACCATTTCGGTTCCTAATCGAATGATCTACGTGGCCTGTGTTGATATTCACATTAGAAGATCCCTGTGAGTTAATAAAGGTCAAATCTTGAGAGTTCAATGATGATAAATGTGACATCGTTGCAGGAGAAAATCGATGAGAGGTCACATCTTCATTTGCTACAACTTCAGAAGTTGCATCCTCTTCATCCTTACGAACAGATAACAACTTCCAATACATACAAAGAAGAATCAAAGCATTCATGACAACTCCCATGAGCATTGCAGGGAGAATTCCAGTAACAAATTGCCCAAACGAAATCCCACTTTGCACAGCTATAACCAGATTCTGAGGGTTACCGATTGGAGTAGCCGAAGAACCTATATTGGCACTTGAAGCAAGAGCAAGCAGAAATGGATGAGGGGGAAGATTCTGTTGTCTTGCTATTTTCAACACAAATTCAGTCAAAACAACACAAGAAGTATCATTGGTGAAAAGGGCACTTGAAATGGCAGAAATCAAACAGATTCTGAAAAGCAAGTCCTTGTTTCCTCTACTCTTCCAGGCTAATAACTTGCCCAAATATTTGAACACATCTGCACGTTCGAGATAAACACTGACAACCATTGTCCCAAAAAGAAGACCCAGAATTGGGAGATCAATAGCAGCATAGGCCTGATCTGGGGTTATCACCCGGAATAAGACCATTAACATGGCTCCAAGGAGGGAACCTGCTGTTCTCCCAACTGGTAGAAAAGGGATAGCAGGGAAAACAGCCAATACCCAGAAGATTCCAAAAGCTACCGAACCAAGAACCAGCTTTACTGTAGGTGCCATGGCCATTTTCTTCAAGCTTTGGTAAGCTGAAAGCCTGAAATTGTTTTTGTTAACTTAAAGACCCAAGAGATTGATTATTTAAGCTCCAAAGACGATTCCATTTCAGTTTTTCACTGGTTCCTGTAGCAGGAAAACATTATTGGATATTATCGTCACAGATTCTACACTAAAAATAACATCAAGAAACTCAAACAGAATAGCAGATTCTTCTTGGAACAGTAATCAAACAGCTGGACTGCATAGAATTCAATATAAATCAACTGCTCAAGCATAGTCCACCCACGGGACCATGGCATGTTTTTGTATAGATACAAATTCAAGAGACAGAAAACAAAAAACTAAAAACAGTCAATTGTTAACATTAACAAGGCAGAAGAATGATACAAAACAACTATACTTCCATGTTCATTCCAGAGAAAACTCCATAACCAAAGAAAAAAGAGTGACTCAGAATTTCTCAATCCTTACAAACAATACTCAATAATTCCTAATAGTTGACAAATCTGAGTAAATTCCAGAAAACCCAGGTGCCCAACACTCACTACTTCCTCCCGCACACAAAACAAATCTCACCTGAGCTCCGACGCAATGAAGTTAATTCAACATATAGAAATAATAAGATTAGAAAACCCTTGTAATTCTGCATGCAAAAGAGAAAAAAGCAGCTCCCTTTCTGGCACTTTGCTTTATTTTATGGATTACATGTGGATTAGATTTCCAAATTTGTTTTATTAAACTTACTTTTTGTTTCTGGTTAGAAACTCACAAGGGAGAAAAGTGGATCACAAAGAGCAAAACTTGACTAGCTTTACATCTGAAAGAGAGGAACTTTTTCATGGCTGATAACATCCACGTGGTCAATGCAATCAACAGTCATGAGCCTGGTGCCTACTGGACTCCATTTGGGAATCTGCCAGCATAATTTTTGGCGGCTTCTGGATCTGATAATTGCTACAGCATTTTTATAAGCTCCTTCGTTATTAAAAAAAGACCAATTTTTCCTCTAAAAAATTTCAGTTTTCATTTTCCTTAGTTTAATTTCCACAAATTTTTGGTCTTTCATGATAAAAATTAATATATATATATATATATAATTCATTATTATTATAATATTGAATAGTGCAAATGGAATAATTTACTTCTACAATTTTCTCAAAGCCTGAATTTGAAGCCAAGAAGTAGATGCCATTATTAGTTAATTACTGTTTTATTGTCATCATTGCATATAAGTAATTCCCTTTACTGTAATATTGCTATTTATGGATGCCCATAAACAAATGAATCACCATAAACTTAAAGCTTATTAGTTTACTATTCAACTTTAAACTTAGACTAATGCATGCAAGAATCTATATATATATATATAGATAAAAGTATTCCTCCATATAGATTTGATGGGTAACTATGAGATATACATACATATATATATATATATTATATGCATGTGGGTGTATCCATTCATGATTGAGAGAAGATGGGTGACCCACGAGGCTCTAAAGTCAAAGTTCTATGAAACTCAATTTAAGAATGGTCAACCTAAAGTTTTAGCTTAAACTCGTGGTCCAAATTCTTGTATTGGCTGATATGAATCATGAGCCACGTAAACTAATATAGCATTATATATGTATATGTATATGTATATATATATGTATATATTTGTGCTAAATAAAAATTTAATATCTAAATTACTACCTCTTGTGCTTTATCGCATTTATTATTAATTTTTTAAAATAATTTTAGCAAAATTAATAAATACACCAAATACAATTTAAAGGATGGTGTTATCACAATACATAATTAAATAATTTAATAACTATAAGTTTACATATTTGTATACTTTAAAATATGTTAAATATATTGTAATTTAATTACTATTTTCATGTACTAATTAGAGTTTTAGTACTAACCCAAAAAAATTAGTTTAAAAATACTAATATGGGCAAACAAAATTCCAAGCTTACGTCATTAATTTATTATTTTTTTAAATCAAAGTTTTATTAATTTTAGTAGGAAAGATAATATTTTCTTTTTTAATTATTATTTGTGGAGGAGATTTATTGTAGAAACAAAAAAATAATAATAATTTCTTAAAAGGGTCATGTCCCATTGATAGATAAGTTGTCACTTCATAAATTTATTTAAAATTAAAAAAATAATTATTATAATTTATTATAAGATTTCAGATCTAAATACCACTAATTAAATAATTTTTTTAAATATAAATTTTCAACTTCTAAAATTTTAAATTTATAATGGTTGTATGATTTGAAATTTTATATAAAATATAATAATCACATTTTTTTTTAATATATGAAGACAACAAGCTTAATACTTTAATATAAAAAAAAAATTTGATAAGAAACCTTGTAAAAAATAATGCGAAAAAGTATAACTTAAAGTTTTTTCTAAAATGAAAAGACAACTTTGACTCCACATGCATATATATATATATTATATTATATGTATCTCTCCTAAATCATTGAGGCATTTTTTAATTCCAATACATATAATAAGTATACAATTATTTATAGCACTTGGGTCTTATACCAAACTATATATATATATATATATATATTTGCCATTAATTAAATGAATATAATGCACAAGTTTCTAATTCAATACAAAAGTGTGAGCTTGACACATGAACTATAAGCTCTTGTTAAAAGGGTAATTGAATTTTGTTTTTGAAATTCAATTACCCTACAATTAATTATACGAAATCAGACTTACTGATATATAAATATATATATATATATACATACATACAGATATATATATATATGTATATGTATATGTATTTCTTCTATGAAGTACAGAATAGGGGTAGAGTCAACATCTGTTGTTTTGCACAGCAAATATGTAGGCCATGTACATGGACTTAGTTTGTGAGGCTGTGACCTAACTGAAGGCCACATTACTTATTATCTTATCCTTCGCCAACCATAAATGGTGCTGGCATCAACTATACATAGATATGTATACATGATATATATGCATACTTCAATGCATATCAGTAAGGATAATATGCCCTACAAAAATATTTGTCCACCAATAAATTCATATCAATTTATCACCCACTACACCAAACTTCTTTCCCCATCTTCACTGATTCATCAAGAGCTGGACATGGATTGATAAACAGTTGCCAGAGCTGGACATGGACATGGATTGATAAACAGTTGAAATATCTAGAGATAATACATCTCTGTCTCTCATCTACGAAGCATTTCAGTGAGTGACAGACCTATACAAGAAGTGCAGGGAGGATAAACCCACATCCAAACTAAAAAGAGTCCAAGAATTTCTCGAGATCAACTTTCTTATTATTACAAAGAGACAGATAAAAATAACCCACAAGACAAATACCCTATACGGCGAATGCTCTGTTTCGTATAACATCAGGTATAGAAATTTTAAAAGAATGATCTACTGATGACCAACTACTGATCCTCTGAACTATTTCCTCTTTGGGTTCTTCTTTTGGTCATAAAGTTTTGAACTTTATCCATTTCCCTGATCCCAGCCGAGCTGTGTGGCTATTAACAGAAATAACCTTCGGATTTACATCTGGTAGGCTAGTGTTTCTAGCACTCCAGAAATGTACTTATAGTTCATACCTAGAGAGTGGTCCAATGTTAGCTAACCTCTGATTGCAGCATGGGAAAGAAAGTCCAGTTGCTCGTTGGCCTATCGTCTTTCCCAGCAACCTTTTCGTTCGCCCACCATTCATTAGGCTTCTCAGAGAAATCTTCTTTTCTGTTATGAAAGTTAAATTCTTTGCTTGACCCAAGAGTAATTGATCGATGCTTTTGATGGCAATTTTCCCCTTCCACTGCTCCCAGAGGTTTATCGGATATCTTAGCAGAATTTTCTGTGCCTTGCGACACATAATGGTTCGGACTATCTGTTAAAATTGGATCCGTATTCCTTCCAGCTTCCAACACTTTGTCCTGTTGACAGTTTAATGTAGTTCTAGCTGATGCTACCGACTTGTTCTCAAGACAACGGGCAACCTCTTCACCGCTCAACTCAAAAGAGAGTCTGTGATCAACCATTGTTTCATCATTCTTAGATCCATTTTCTGAGTTTGCAAGGGAAGCCACCTCTGAGATTTGATTCTCCAAAGGAAAAGCATCTCGTGAGGCAGGTCCCGGACCATCAGGAGTTAAAGTTCCTGAACCCAGCCTTGAATAGAGCCCTATACCATCAGGAGTCAGAGTGCCTGAACCCAGCCTTGAACCGTGGCCAACAGGTGTTAAAGATCCAGAACCTAGCCTCGAACCCCATTTACGAGTAGTAAAATGTTCAAACCCTATAAGTTTAGGAGCTTCACCCATTCTGAACTCAATAATTGGGCGCTTATCAGGGAAAGGAGAAGAAGTTCCAGAGTTAGAGACTACTGAGCCTGGTGATATAAGATTGCCACCGGGACTTCCAGGGTAAAACTGATGAAATTCATAATGGGATAACATGAATTTCTGATTGCTTCCACTGTTTCTTCGAGCACGCTCCAATGAAGATGTCAGAAGCTGAGCAAATGGAACTTCAGGAGACGAAGGCGTTGTCTGTTGAACAGACTCAGGAGGAGGGGTGAAAGGAGCTGTGGATGGTTCAGTTGTGAAAGCAGAGAAAACAGGCGGTGTTACTGGCTGAGTTTCATTTGCATAAGGGCCTATAGTGAAGATTGATGCAGGTCCACCAGGGGAATAAGCATTGACTGAAAGAGAAGTAAAGGAGAGCAGACCAGCAGGTGACTGAGTAGCTGATGGAGGATCTGATTGGAGAAATGATGCAGGAGATGAGGGAGGGGCGATAAAGGGTAGCACCATGGCAGGAGAGTGAGTCACATTTTCAGCAGGGGAGACTGAAGCTCCTGTTACCGGAGGTTCCGGAACAAGGACAGCATGCCCAATTCGCTTACTGTTCTTATGGGATCCAAAACACCAGTATAAACTCCAGCAGCCTCCCCATCTTCTTTTCTGTAGTTAAACAAAAATCCTTACGTAATTTATATTGAAACTTGGAAAGCATAGGAGTATAACTCGATTCAACACAACCCAGAATAGTTGGTCGAGATTAGAGAAAAGATAAATAGTTACAGCAGAATGCAAAGCCATAAACAATCATACTATGAAAAATCAGCAGTAATCATCATGGATTTTTTTATATAAATAACTAAATCAAACCAAAACAGAACTGGATCATAATGCACGGTGAAGAAGCAAATACAATAAGACTTGACAAAGAACTATTTAACGAATCATTCTCGATTTTCAGGCAAGATATATTAAAACATTTGCTATAAGAAAGAATGGGTAACCTTCACATTCATCATTAGTCCTGACCCTTGAAAACATGATACAGAAAATATGCTCAAATATATATTAAAGCTATCAAGTTTCGTACTTTCTGCAATAGATTAAATGCGGCTTAGCTTAAACAAAAGGGACTATGCAGTGGGATCAGAAGCACTTGAGTATTGAAGCAATTTGAAATAGTGATCCAGAAAGTAGGCAGGGTTGACAACACATGATTCACCAAATTTGTAAAAATATAACCGGAAGGAGCTGAAAAATCATTGACGGAGAAAAAGAAACTGTCAAAAAAAGGCTGGAAAACTGATCTGTAGCTTTCTCGGTTCAATTCGCCATGATGGTCCAAAAGGTATAAAGGAAATCTTAATGTTGAATTTTCTGTGCTGGAGCAAATAAAGCTAAAACTTTCACCAGATTGAGGCTAACCCAAGTATATATTTACTCGCTTGATGAGAATGATCCCAACGAAGAAAGCAAAAAAAAAGCAAAAGAAAAAGTAATAATAAGATCCAACATTCATTTTCTTTCTCTCTGAAAAAAAAGTTGAACAGATAGCCAGACAGCCTAAGAAATTTCCAGCCAATCACACCAAAAACAAAACCGAAGATGGATTTTTCACTTAAAGCCAGACATCACAGAGCACAACACCCAAGATTCAACTTCCTTTTCTTGATTAGCCAACACTAATTTCCCCCAAACAACTCATGATTAAGAAAAAAAGGTTAAGTTTTAGCTTCCCTTTCATTATTTTCTCGGCCACCAAACAGAGCCGGTCACCAAATCTTGAAAACACACACCACCCAACATAGAGCTCCAAACATATTCATACAGACACAAACATCTCCCTCCTGTTTGTGTTCACAAATATGCTCACGTACCTGAACGGTGGTGGGTTGGACCCGAGACTCGGCAGAGACGATGGCAGAAGCAGCGGCGTTTATAGTCTCGACGCTGTCGTTCACGTTCCTCATCCTCGATTGTCGTGAAGCCGCAAAACGCCGGTTTGATGTAATAACATCAAGGTTAGTGTTTTACACTGTTTGATCTCAGAGAAAAAACCCAGAAGAAAATCAAAAAGAAAAAGTGAAGAGAATACTGAGAGAAAGGAGAGAACTGGAAAGAAAGCTGAGACTTTTTTTACAAATCCAACTTTTCTTCTCTTTCTCTTCTTCTTCTTCTTCTTCTTCTTCTTCTCTTTCCGGTCCAATTCCTCTCCAGTCGTTATCCTCCAGTTTTCATCCATTTTACACATTTAGTCGTTGCCATGTCAGCTCGAAGAGATGGTTGGGACCCACCCGTCTCCCTATTTTCTCCTAATTAATTTTTAATACCAAAATATTTCCTTTTTTTAACCAAATTATTTTGGAGCTTTTATAATTCAATCACTTAATTCATTAAATTAATTTAAAAATAAATAAATAAATCTCAGCGCATGAAAATTTAATAAATAAAATATAAAATTAAAATTTAATTTGTAACGCTTATTTAAATTCATATTTCCCCAACGACATTCTAATTTCTAAACGCGTCCTCGTCGTTGCAGCTTAATTTTGTCAGTCCGTGCGAGAAATTTACCGGTGGGACCCACAATAATGACGTGGCAATTTCCGTCCAATGGAAGATGACAGAGTGGAAACAACCTCCTTTGCTTGCTTCGTAATTAAAAATATTTTTATTATTTTTATTCGACATTCCGTTATTTTAATTAATATTAATATTATTTTATATTCAATTACCCTCTTCTTTTGCACGAATTTACCGTAAAGCCATTCAGTTATGGCGAGAAGGAACGAGACAAGAGACGAGGTGCGAGATACTCGTGAATTAAAAAAAAAAAAAAATTTGTTTGTGTTGGGTGGGTAATTAGTTTGGTCTGCGTGGGCTGTCTTGTCCCTTAGCGAGCCGTGGATCTCGTGACCGTATTCGGTGTGGCTCACCCTCGTCCGGTACTGCGGGCCACGGGGAAGTCAACTCTCAAGATGCAGCTTCGACCGTCCGATTAGATGACCAATAGTCTCTGATTGTAATTTCGTGACATCAGTGAGGGTACTTTGGACAAATCGAAATTTAGAATTTAAAATTAATTTTTCCTCGCTTTATAACGTGGCAACTTTATGTATAAAAAAAAATTAAAAATTAAAAAAAAAAAAAAAAGGAGGAAAGATGTGCACGTGTGCGCACACCCACTTGCTCGATGGGGTTTGTGCGCCACCCCTCGTGCACGAGACAACGACTCTCTCTCTCTCTCGGACGATGACGTCACATCCATAACCTCCTATCTTTTGGTCTAATTAACCCATCGAAACCTCTCTCTATTTAGAAAGGTAAAAAAAAAAAAAACAAAATTACTGTTTTACCTTTTCATTGGTAATTTAATTTAAAAATTTTACTATTTTTTAATAAAATATAATTATAATTTAATGTAATTAAAAATAAATTAGTGGGTTAACATTTATAGTTTAAGCTAATGATGACTAACTTTTTTGGGTCCTCTCCCACACTAAAAGAGAGAAACGAGGTTTTGTTGGAGTTAAGATCTTGAAAAGCCTAAAAAAGGAAACCTTGTTTTTTACCCGCTAAAAGACGTTACTTATTACCTTTTTATAATTACATTACTGCCACTCTTTTTTTCTTTTTCACCTTGTTTAAAAATTTACAGTACTCTGCGGCATGCGGTAGAATCTTCCGAATCAGTACGATATTTTAAAAATTAATTTTTTCTGACGATAAAATTTTAAAAAAATAAAATGACGAACTTATGATTCGAAGAACATAATCGTATTTTATATCGATAAATTTTTACGATTCTCGTTTCGATAATCGTAAAACAAAAATATTATAAAAATAGTATTTACACGTTACAAGTTCATACTTAAACTCAATTCATTAAAATTCAATATTATTTGACTGTATTCGATCGCTTTTAAACATGACTATTAAATTAATAGTTTGATACGTATATCAAAATTCACATTAGATTCACGTATCGAAAAAAGTCTAACATAATCATGTTCTTCGAGGGCCGTAATTCGTATATTTAATTTTTTAAAAATTTTATAAATAAAAATTCCCGATAACCCACAAATAATGTTTTTGAGTTATTATAAATTATTTATAAATAATTATTATAAATAAAATATTACTCAAAATAATAATATTAGAATAACAGAAAGACTTCTGTATCTAATGATTGTATTATCTAACAGTACTTACAACTAAAAATTCTTAGTTCGTAAAATCAATATAACCATGGGAATCTTATATATATATGTGTGTGTGTGTGTGTGTGTGTGTGTGTGTGTATGTGTGTGTATGTATATATATAAAGAGATTAAATTGATGAGAACAAGAACAAGAAGCTAATTGTATTTCAATGGTGGGTCCAGAAAAAAGAGAAGAGACTGTTAGGAGGATATTTTTTTTTTTTCTTTCTTTCTTTCTCATGGGTTGGCTTGGTGTCGTTATGGTCCTACAAGCCTAAAGCTAAACCAGCACTCCACATGTTTGAGTTATCAGGTAGGTCGGAGTTGATCTCCAACTTAAATTTCTATGGAAATTAACTGTTCAATATATATATATATACATATGTATACACAATCAACAAAACTATATATATATATATATATATATGATAATATATATTGTATTGTTTGAGGGGGAAGAAGATCCTCATTTACATCTCGTATCTATGGAGATAAATGCTGATGTAGAGAGAGTCCTGTAGCATGCAAATGCTTTGTCAAGCTGGCTTCTCATAATAACGACATGATTTATGGGTCAGTAGTATATTACATTAACTATATGTATACACGCACACACAGATACACACAGATGCATGCTATGGTGGGAGCTGATTTTTTTATGTGTATATAATTATTATTCTTTGTGGGTGATGAGCCCGGAAACTTTCTGGGTTCACCAGAGCCCAGCTGCTCAATTCTGCTGAAAAAAGACACAGGCTTTCTTGGATCTTTAACAAAATTTTCGATTTTTCAGTATATAACCAAATCGTAATTCTAATCGGCCCAAAGAAGCTTTTTAAGGGTAGAAGGAATTAGACGACCGAGCCCAACACGGAGCTCACCTGTTCATCTTTGGTTTGCGACAAAGAACAGGCTTGTGGGAGATTGCTATGTCATTTTCCAATTCCGCACTCATAATATCTGTGTGTCTCGCCTTCCGCTGAGGATAATCGTGGGCTTGAAACGGCGTGAAATGTGCTATCAATAATCCAGGTTAACACTGTTATAATACCTTCAGATCACGGCCATGGCGTCACCAATTTCAGCTTCTGTTTCTCTGTGTTGTTCCCCGTCCACAAGCACAAAATCAACCATCTGCCTGGTTCCCTACTCCAAAGCCTCAAAATTTCACGTCTCTCCATGGTTTTCCCAACTGGGTTCTGCTCAGTTCTCTTCATATAGTGGGCTGAGACATCTGGGTATTTCGATCTCTCCGAAATCTCTAAAATTAGGTACTCTACTCATCTGGGGTTCATTTGTTTTTGCTAGTTTTTGTCCGCTTCTTTTGGAGTTCAATTATGTTTTGTGCTTAATGGTTTCGTCATCTTACTGTTTGATGAAATGTATTGCAGAGAGGAAGAGAAGGTGTAGAGGTAAGGTGGTTCATGCTTCTCTTTTTGGGGTTGGAGCTCCTGAGGCGCTGGTGATTGGGGTAGTCGCTTTATTGGTGTTTGGTCCTAAAGGTCTTGCTGAGGTGAGTCTGCTGGACACGGCTGATGCTAAGTTGCTAATTACTCTTAGCTTATTCTGACTTAATACTTTGTACTTTCTGTCATTGGCTGCTTAATAAGAAATTCTAAGCACTATAAGGCTATGTTTGGAGGGGAATTCTTTTGCAAATAAGCCTTTAATAGGGCTTATACAAATTATGAAGCGGAATTAGAATAATAGGTGTCAAATTTCATTAAACTCAATGAAACCCTATGCTAGTTGGATTTCGTTGGACATGTCCAAGCAAGTGTAACGGGTATAATCAAACAGATTATATGTGTGAGGTTGTAAAAGAACCAAAAACAAAATATTGTATGTTTTAAGGAAGGGAAGGTTCCCAAAGAGTTAAGGATTAATCCTCTTAGAACGAAGTTTCTTTCAGACCTTTCAACCAATCGATGTGACCCCAAAGAGCAGCTTTTGCTAACACTCGAGTAGTTTCTTGAAAACTTGCTTGGAATATAAAACTTTTTGAGTATTAAAATACCGCCATTTGGTCTGGATAGGACTTCATGGTGCTTTTGTAGAATGCTTTTGGTAATTAGTCGAAAAACGAAATTTATTGGACTTCCATTTATTTGGAAATTGGCTTATTGAAATTGGGGGTCTTCAGGGATGAGTTTGTGTCGCACAGAGTTGAGAACATTTCTTTCTCGTTCTTATTTTGGAAATAATATGAGGGTGTGCCTAGAAGATTGGAAATTCCTCTGATATGCTATGGCAGAAGCTAAAGATGTCGATCATCATGAATTGTAAGAACAGATTGTTTTTCGTTTGCCCGTAGATTGCCATATACTCACCCATTAAACTGTACAAGATATCTTTAGTGAGTTTTATTGGGAGATATGATTTATGTCCCTTGCTTCCTTTTCCTTTTAAAGTCAACAGTATCTAACTTCTGTAGTAATGAATTTATATACATTTGGAATTAGTTGAACAAACTGCTCAATACACAAAAGATTACTGCCCTCAGTAACCACCATTCTAGAGATCTCAAACTTAAGAAGTGAAACGGCAGCTAGACAGCCTTATCTATCGGCCTGAAGTATATTGATTACCTTATTTGCAGTAATAATGGGTAAGATCACGGTTGTCCATAGCTGCCCAATCCAGATAAGAAGTCTAACAGCCACTGGATACCATTATCTATTGCTCTGCATTACTTCGGTCAACATTCTGGTCAACTTATTTAAGTTGTAATAGACATGTTTCATTGCTCGGAACATGTATTTCTGCTTCTATTTTTAGAAGGGCTGCAAATGGTAACCCAAGTAATCGAGAAGACGATGTTGGTATTGCTGTAAGCAAAACCCGGAAAATGGATTTGACTACAGTATTTATACTTAAATGCGCACATAGTTAAGAGTTCAAATTTATCATGTTAGTGTCTGTTGGTATGTTTCATAGAAGTTGTCTGAATGCAGGTTGCACGAAACCTGGGAAAAACTCTGCGAGCATTCCAGCCTACCATTAGAGAATTACAAGTTGGTGCACGAAACCATTAGTTTTATTCATGTTTTTTTTTTTACTTTTTTGAAAGTTTAAGATATTATTATGGCTGCATCAATTGTCAGGACGTTTCAAGAGAATTCAAGAGCACCCTTGAGCGGGAAATTGGTCTTGATGAACTTTCAACACCGAGTTCATACCGCTCCAACGCAACGAACATTCCTTCACCAATCTCCTCATCACCTGCTAGCAGTGAGAATCCGGGGAATGTAGCCGACCCCAGTGAGTATTAAGTATTTCCTACTACATTCTTGTTTAAAATCTATTAGAATCCTTGTATTTTTCTTGCTCTGTATTTAAACGTTAATCACATTTTGGATTGATCGAAAACAATACATTAAGCTCTTGCTCTTGTATTCCGTTTCTTGCTAGTTCCTCCATTTCCTAATCCTACTACCCTGTAGTGTGATGTTTTTCTTAGCACGGGCTGTGTTAAGGTTTATATTCGAATTATCATTTAACAAGTCAGGTGTTATATAATCTATGTTACATATTCTTGATCTGTAATGTTTCCGTTACTTAATATGACTGGTGATTTGTCTTAATTTATAGTCATTCTTAATTAATATTGTCAAGGACATGCCTTAAACGCCGTGACTCTTCTATACTTGCAGATGGTGCTCTATCCCCAGAAGACAAAGCTTACACCAGCGAGGCGTACCTAAAGATCACAGAAGAGCAGCTCAAGGCATCGGCTGCTCTACAGTTGGACCCAACTTCCACTTCCGGAGAAAGCCAGCTTAAACCAGAAACTCAGCCTCAAGGTTAATTATTCTTTGAAAACTCTGTTTCTTTTTTGGTCTTTGATCTTACTCATTTTTTATCTACAAATTGGTAACAGCAACAGATCAAGAAACTGCCTCTGCAACCCCTCAAACTCAAACACAAGTGTCTGACAGCAAGACATGAACTTGTGCTGTCAGAGGAATGTTATATCATTTCTCGATGGCCCCGCTAGATGTAGTTGGAACTTCCAGAAAGGATTCTTGGAGGAAAACAGAGAGAGAATCATTAGAAATTCATTAAAAAATACGTACATGCATATATGTGTATTTTATTTCCGTTGCAATAGAACTACTGAAATTTTGGAATTATATGAAATCTTTTCTCCCCCACTTTGCCTTCTGGGGTTTTTGTTAAGTCCTCCATTGGTAAACCTTGTTTGCAGCTGTAAGAAAATTTCATAGCAGGTTCCAGTTCATAATATTTAAGAAACAGTTTTTAGAAAAACATAATCTAAGGAGCTTACAGTTAATATTATGAATTAAAATTGAAACAATAACAGAGCTCACATTTCATGTCACTGTAAACTAGAAGTTCATCCATGGAACACGGACAGAAGTTTCCGACCATGAGCAACATCGCACAAATATTTCTCATCATCGGAACTACCGTACAAATCTTTAAATCATTATTATTGATCCAGATGCAACCCAGTTACCACAACAATCAAACCTCCATGAGAAACTCCTTATCATTCTCCAGCCTCTCCATGGCGGAAGCTTCCAAGGTGATCTCCACGTCAATGCTCCTCCCTCCACTCTTCCCCTGGTACAGATACACCATCCCATCAAACCTGTTGTTGGATCCGCTCCTCACACTCTCCGGCTTCCCGAAACCGAAATCCACATCGTACACCTTAAACCTCGGCGAGCTTCCGACCGCCACGCAGTTCACGCCGGCGTCCTTGAACTGGAAAACCTTCGGCGACTGCTCCCACTCCTTGTTCCGTGCGTCGATTGCCTTCGCGTCGTGCGCGTCGATCGCTTTCTGTATCAGCAACGCGCCGAACTCCGGCGGGTTCGCCGACAGGAGGCCCGCTGCGGTTACGGTGAAGATGGCTTGTATAAGGTTGCCGAAGTAGGTCTCCGGCATTGGCGGTTCCACGCGCTTCCGGCAGTCGGCAAAGACGGTGAAGACCGTGTAGTCTTCCGGCCTCAGGTTGCGCGCGTGCGTGACGTGGCGCCAAACGTGAACGGCGAGTGATTGGAACGTGGAAAATGGCTTTGCGCCGTCCGGTGGAGGGTTTGCGTTGACCGTTGACTTTATCTTATCGACGGCGGATTCTGGGAACCGGAAGACCTTCTCCCGCAGCTTAGGCTCCTGCTGTTTGGCTTCGCCGTTAGATTCGGCGCTGGCCGCCACCGGGTCTGGGGGCAGGGAGAGGTCGAGCTTCATGCGCGTGTCCCGCACTTTCGTCCGTTCGAGGAACGGTTGGGCCGAGATTGACGGTGAGCCCGTGCAGATCTGAGCCCACGAGCTCATAAAGTGCCACGTGGCAGTCCCGTCCAAGATCGCGTGATTGAACGCCAATCCCATAGCCAGTCCATCCTTCAGCTTTGTTAACTGACCAAAGGAACAATAAACGGTTATTGGGCCGGTGGGTCCGGTCAGATTCATTTTGGGCCTTAAATGGGCCCCATTTTGTAAATTCGCTATTTGAATTTATGTCGGAGAGAAATAGCTAGCAACCCTATTTAATTTAAGAAAACAATAATAACTTATATATATATATGTATTATCTTATTAATAAATATATAATTTTTAAATTAATTCCTGGTAAATTATAAATAATAACCTCTCTCAATAAATTAATTTCTGAAAAAGAAAAAGAAAAATTTACAATTTGATTACCTGGATTGCCAACAATGGCCGACGAAGGCCTTCCAAGTTCAAGATCCCATTATAAGGAATCAAGTCCTTCAGTGCACCGGTGCCCTCCTCCACCGTCAGATCACCAACACTGATCTCGTCAGCCACCGCCTCGGACACCTCCACGCCGTCCATCTCATCATCGTACTCAACCCTAAACACGCCTTCATCGTCTTTCCCTAATCTCCCCGCCAGCTGATAAAAGTCCTCCAACACCACCTTCAGCCCTTCTTTAAGCTTCTCCACATTCTCCTTAAACTCATCCTGCCCGCCCCCATAAATCAACAGCTTCTGGTTATAGTAAAACGCAACGTACGGGAGATCAAACGTCACTAGCTGACACTCGTTCTTCCCTATCGTCTTGCTCGGTCTCACGTGGGTTTTGCTCGTAATCTTCACCTTCGTCACTTTATCAGCCTCTTCCGCCATTGTTGCTGATCTCAGGAACCTTTAAGCTTGAAGAACAGACCTTTGTCTGGGACGATTTTTAGAGTGGGTACATGAGTTTTTGTTGTCAAAGAAATAAGTGTACTTATAAAGCCGTGTGCTTTGTCTACAGTTGGGGTGCATTAATGGAGATTAGAGGAAGCAGTTGTGACGCCATTAATGCTTTTTTCTTCTTCGTGGTCATCAGTGCAGGGGTGGTGCGTTAAGAGTCCCTTCAGTCTCTTAATTAGTGTTGTTGCAGGTTGTAGTAAATGTCAACATAAATAATTAACACCTCACGATTTGTGCTTTTCGAAAGTTCGTTGTGCTTTAGGAGTTGTACTTTAAGCTTTAGATGTTTGCACGTTCAATTTCTTTTTCTGTCATATATATAAAATATAATGTATACTCGCCATGAAAATTACAGAGAGAAAAGAGCTCGCTCCTTTTGACCATAGGCGCAAAGACAGGTAGAAAACAAAGAAAGACTGTGAATTGCAAAGTTTTTATCTCTGGAATAAAGACGTATACATAAACATACATACACATATAAATACATATTACTTTGAGATTATCTGAAAATAACATTTGGGTCGACCCGGATCCAGAATTTGTTTAACAACCAGATTTCTAGCTCTATTAATAGTCATGAAGCACAGATATAGAAGCTCTTCCAGCTCATCAAGCTGTTGGCTGAAGCTAGCATCACTTTTCTTCAGCTGGCGCGCCATTTCATAACTGGCTTGAAGCCGATCATCCATTTTCTGAAGCCAAAATCTACCCATAGTTCGCATGCGCTCTAGCTCGTCATCAAGCCGAGCCGCAAGCCGACTTATTATATCAAGATCTCTGTTCAATATATACGTCCCTTTTGCAGCTGCGTCGAGTTGAGCCGAAGACCTGGCTAGCTTTTTCACCGAAGCCAGCTCAAGCGAAGCCACCAAAAAACCAGGTCCAGCCACTAGCACAGCCAATGCATGAGTGGCAACAATAGCCGTTACCGAAGCCGCTAAGGCAATAACAAAAAGACCCGAGCCGTGTTTTAAGCTATTCATGAGCCGAAACTTGGCTTGAATCTTATCACGCTTTGACTCGAGCCGTTTAAGCAAGTTTGAACATCTGGCTTGAATAATCTGAACTCGGCACGGAGATGGAGCCGTTGAAGCGAACGGGTGTTTCGAATTGAGAAATTCGGTTAATTGGGTCATTAGACCCGAAATATGGTTTTCGGGTAATTCCGTAGATATTTCTAATGATTGGATTGTCTTTTGGAGTGATCGATATTTGACACGTGTACGGTCAATATCTTTCAACAATGAGCCGCACAGGAGAGAAGCATTTGAAGTTTCGGAGAAATAATCGGATAAGAGAGGGCGCGTGGCGGGTTGGATCTTGGCCAATTTGAGAATTCGGGTAACCATTTGTTGATCCGGATCCAACAAATGCTCGGCGAAAAGTCGATACGACGGAAGCCGAGCTGCAGTAGTTGGTGTGCACGTGGCATAATCTCTATAGAGAAGTGCAACGACACGTGCCCAAAAATTATTGTACGATTCCGTTCGAAACGCATTGGTATATTCTTCTCGAACATCCACATCTTCTACTTCTCCGTTAGAACATTCATCGATTGATCCTACACAAGTAATTTTAAATAATTCATATATATATATTAATCGTAATACAATAAAAATAACTTTTAACGTACGAAAATATAATTAAACAACATTTTACCATAACACGAAATAAATTTTTTTATACGGGTGCCAACTCTATTGCTCATTTTATCTCGTCTAATTCCAATATCAACACTGTAAAAAAAAAAAAAAAACCCAAGTATATGATTTCGTAAGTAAAAATTGGTAAATATATATATATATATGTGCATATACACATTGATATTCACCTGAATTTGATCTTCAACGAACACAAATTTTTTTTGTAGCATATGAAAATGGAAATGAATTTAAGGGTGTGCCATAACTTGTGGTCTATATAGCGTTATAGACCTTGTAGTGGAAGGGAAGGTAACGCGTAGCTTTGGATACTTACAAGACATGCAAAATGTTTCCTTCACATTATCGCCGCCCAATCATGTGTATATATATGTGTGGTGTATATTAATTCTTTGTTTTTATTATTTTTTATTATATATAGTATTTTCTTTAATGCTTTATATGTATACGTACATATATATATATATATTGGTATTTTCTAGTTCCATCTTTATATATATTATTTATTATTATTAGTGTAAATATAGTTATATTAATAAATACAATATATTATATTAAAAATATAATTATATTAATAAAATAATTAAGTCATATTTGAGATACATAATTCAAAAACTCGACATAGTTTGAAAAAAAAATTTAAAAAATACAAATCTACTCAAAATGTTCAGATTCACTCTTTATAAAAATAAATCGAGTTTGAATTTGATAAAACATGTATCGTCTATGTTCTATTATCATCTCTAGTAGAAATATTATATTTGGTTTAATTTTTAACTATTTAATTTTTTTATTTGATTAAATAAAATTTATTTATAGTACTACTAATAAATTTTAGAAAACGTTTTATATTCGGATTGACGACTTACCCATCCAGTGATTTTGGCACTGGACGTTCCCAAAATAAAATTGGTACTACCAGGTCGGGTGAATTCAATAATAAACGTCTGGTGGCATTCCAGCATTATTTTTCCTTTCAGAACCTATTCGAAAGAGAATGCAATACTTTTTAGTCGTGAATATCTGAATAGGGCGAACCGTCCCGTAGATATTTCTGCTCGAAATAAAATAATTAGAATTAGGGTTAGTCAACTGGAATGTGTATTATCTATATAGGAGATCTTCCAATTGAGAAGAAGAGAAATGTCTATCTATTTTATTTAGTTATTCAGTTAAATAAATGATTCGTTATTAGAACAGATAGCAACAACTATTTCATCCGACATGCATATTTTTAATTTTCCGATGGATTTACATCTTTCATTAATATAAATTTTTTGATGTAGTGAGTAATAGCTCTGGTTGTTGGCTGTTCAAGAATGATTGTTTAGATTAAATAATTAAATATTAAAATAAAATCACAAATTAATTTTACTAATAATTACATAATTGCTTATGCAAACCAATTAATATTTGTTTTTTTATTTTTAAAAAATTAAGAAAAAAAATTAAATTAAAAAATCTCAATTTTTTTTTTAAAAAATAATAAAATTCCAATTATATTTTTAGCAATAATTATTTTATTTCCATAAAGGATAAAAATGGGCCTAACAATATATTATTCATACACAGTATGAGCCCGTATATTAGCGAGACTTGGGCTTTTAGTCTCGCAACGGAGCATTTCGGACCTGCGAGAAGCTCGACGGCGCCGCTGGCTCGTCGACGGGGCGGACGTCATGTCAGTCAGTGTCGTCGTCTTCTCCGGCGCGGAAAATGTCGACGCAGAGAACTCATCGTCATGGATAGGGCGCGGCAAGTGGATCGTTAAGACCTCGTCTCAGGCGGGAGACGTGTCGTCCTCCTCGTCGACCTCGGTGGAGCATTGTTCTTGGGATCCACTCAGACGACGGCGTACAGTCTGAGCTTGCGGACTCTCTGTTGCGCCCGTCGCTGTTCTTGAGGTATTTGGCCGAGGATATGGAAACATCCATTTCACAGCGAGAAGCAGCTGTGGAGGTAAGAACTGATTCTGCGAATATACTCGTGGAATAACGAATTTATTTCGTCCGAAAATTAATGCTTAATTTTTGAAAAGTTGACTTCGTTTTGGCATTATTAAAGGAAATGAATCAATTGTTTGCTTTGTTTTTGGAAACTGAAAAATTTATTTCATTCTTAGACTTATTTTATCATATCGCCAATCACCGATATTCATACCTTTTCAAATGATACGCGAAATCATAAGAGATTCTGTTGAAACCTGAGAGAAGAAATAAAAGAAATGAGCTAAAGATGATAACAAAACGAATCTGTCTCGAAGTAAATTTCAGAGTAACGAGTGCGGGCTTTCTCAAGGTTGGGAAAGAGCATGGATTGTATTGTTTTTACATGTCGTACATTTGTCCAGCGATCATAAAATTCAAACTGATTCTTGCCATTGGAATTGGTTAATTTTATCACCTGTTTGTTTACTACCAAGAATTTTGGCAAGTTGTTTTAGTCCCGATGTTCAGCATTACTGGAAGCCTTAGTAGTCTTGGTTTTAATTAGTTTCACTTGCTTCATGCATGATTTTTCTCTGTTAGTAAACTGACTGTGCCTCGTCCCATAATTAATCATACAAAATAATGTTTTCAACTTCAGTGTCGAGGCCAATTTCCTTGAGGATAATTGATAAATTGCCTCAGTGAGCACTTCCTCTGCTAGTTTTTCAAGCCTAGAATCATCACTTTTAAGTAGTAAGAAAAGATAGTCTTTCGAGGCAGGAGATTTATAATGGATAGATCTAGTTTCTTCACTTTCTTTTGTTTCCTTGTGTTGTTGTCTATGTTGGAGAGATCATTTGCCAATGACAGAATTACTCCAAACCAACCCTTAAGTGATGGAGAAACGCTAGTCTCCCCCACACAAAAGTTTGTGTTAGGTTTCTTTTCTCCTCCTAACTCGCTGAACAGGTACCTCGGAGTATGGTACCAGAAGTGTCCTCGCTCAGTTGTTTGGGTTGCGAATAGAGATCAAGCAATTAACAATACAAGTGGTATTTTTTCCATAAGCAAAATCGGGAACCTGGTTCTTCTCGATGGAGCGAAGAATGTTATTTGGTCTGCAAATCTTTCCAGGCTCGAAGAGAATCCAATTGCTCAGATTCTGGATTCCGGAAACTTTATCATCTGTGGAAATACTAGTAGGAATCCATATCTTTGGCAGAGCTTTGATTACCCATCAGACACGTTACTGCCTGGAATGAAGCTGGGATGGGATTTAAATACTAAACATGAAAAATTCCTGACGTCATGGAGAAGTCCTGATGATCCCTCTCCTGGAGATTTTACTTACAGGCTTAACATTGATGTTTTGCCTGAATTGGTTGTCAGCAACGGGTCAATTAGAAATTTCAGGTCTGGGCCATGGGATGGAGACAAGTTTGCTGGTGTTTCAGCAGTTCCCAACTTTATTTTTAGACCTACTATGGTATCTACTCAGGATGAGATTTATTACATGTATGAATCCATTAGTGACACCTTGGTTATACATCTAACCTTGAACGGAACGGGTTTTACAAAAAGAATGATACTTGATATGGAAGAAGAACGTTGGCATAGTTGGTACACTATGCCATTCGATCGCTGCGATAGTTATAATTATTGTGGTGCCAACAGTGTTTGCAGTATTAGCAAAGAAAAAGCCTGTAACTGCTTGAACGGGTTTGTGGAGAAACCTGAGGTTCACAAATGTGCAAGGGTATCAGAAGTAGATTGCAAAGCAGAAGGAGAGTTCACGAGACTTGCAGGAGTGAAGTTGCCAGACCTGTTGCAGGTTCAGTTGAAGAATAGTTTAGACCTGCAAGAATGTAAAGAAGAATGCTTGAATAACTGTTCATGTACGGCGTATGCTAAGTCAAATTTACCTGACAAAAAGGGTTGTTTGCTGTGGTATGGCGACCTGATTGATATGAGGGAGGTCTCAGATGAGTACAGGGGTCAAGAGATTTACATAAGAACCACTCCAAAGCAAGGTAAGCATATAACTCATTTTTTTAAATGCTATTTAATTGGGGGTAGCTGTACAAATTAGCCTGTCCATTTGACCCTTTTATTGGGTGTAATACGGGTCTTCTAGATGTGCATGAGTATGAAAATAATGTAATGTTCTGCTGGAATCTTGATGCATGCACCTCTTCTTTTGCACAAAAATGAAAGGTGTAGCCTATGGTAGCAGAAGGTGAAGAACTGATTCTGTTTTTTGCTGATTTTTTTTCTTTCGCAGGGCCAAACAATATCTATGATTGGGAGAAATTCATGAATTCTGTCCTACTATATTCGGTCCTGCCATATTCACTCATTGCTGCAGGCAATCTGATTGTGGGCATTGTATTCTGCATTTTCTGGACGAAAAAGGGGAGAAAAGGTAAGCACAGTTGTCCATATCATGTTGTTTTTGTTTCTACAGAAGATACTTACGAGACTAAAAGAGATTGGATGATTAATTATTACCAGCCAAGCAAGTCAGGAATGTGGATTTGGATGTGACAGTATTTGATTTCACCACCATTCGCAAGGCCACAAACAATTTCTCTAATGAGAATATTATTGGAAAAGGCGGTTTTGGTCCTGTTTACAAGGTATTCGATATGACGAAATTTTAGTCCTGTTCAGATTGCAACTAAAACCCATAAAATAATATGCAGTTTATGGTTTCTGCTAAATCAACAACTTAGCACATGTTGCTTCTTCTGCGTGAACACAAGCAGGGGACTCTTTCAACAGGGCAAGAAGTGGCTGTGAAAAGGTTGGCAAAGGATTCGCAACAGGGCATCGAAGAATTTAGAGCTGAAATTGTTGCAATTGCCAAACTTCAACACAAGAATCTTGTTGCTCTTTTGGGTATCTGTGCAGCAAAAGATGAAAGAATGTTGATCTACGAGTTTATGCCCAACAAAAGTCTGCACCATTTCATCTTTGGTACAACCATTTCTATCCTTTAGTAGATAATTCTTCTCTTTTTGGCTAATTATTGCATTTAAATTGAAGTCCAGGCCTGTTCTTGCTCTTGGAAAATGCAAGACAAAAACAATAGCATAAAATATTAATGTCTAATTTCAAGATTCATTATAGTGGGAATTATGTGCAGATCAAAAAGGCAAAGCACTTCTGCCATGGCCAAAACGTTTTGATATTATCATGGGGATTGCCCGAGGACTTCTCTACCTACACCAAGACTCCAAACTCCCAATTATTCATCGGGATCTCAAAGCAAGTAATATTTTACTAGACAGTAACATGAATCCTAAAATTTCAGACTTTGGATTGGCTAGAACTTTCGAAGGTAACAATGAAGAAATGCAGACAACAAGAGTTGTTGGAACATAGTAAGTGATCCCAAAAATCTCCTACTACTGCATTCCAGTTGGACAGCTTAACTGGTATAACTAGTGCATGTTTTGTGTAAGAATTTTGGGGGCAATTGCATTTGAACTTAATTGGAGAGATCATGAATGTGAGAAACTCATGATTTGATACTTCTACTCAGTGGTTATATGTCACCGGAGTACGTGCTCGAGGGAACTTTTTCAGTAAAATCTGACATCTTTAGCTTGGGCGTGCTTATACTGGAGATTATTAGTGGAAAGAGGAATCCAGGATATAGTCATACTGCTCATCGCCAGCTGAACCTTCTGGGCCATGTAAGGAAGATACACACACACACACACACACACAACCCTTAGACTTCAATTGTGTTTCCCTTTCATTTTTCTTCTTAAGACATCTAAGCATATAAGCTGCAACTTTTTTTTTACACAGACATGGTTGCTGTGGAGAGACGCCGATCCCCTGGAAGTAATGGACAAATGCCTGAAAGCATCATGTGTTAGACATCAAGTACTTAGGTGTGTTCAAGTGGGACTACTGTGTGTCCAACAGTATCCAGAAAGCAGACCTCCAATGTCTTCTGTTGTTTTCATGTTGACGAGCGATGATGCAGGAACATTGCCTCAACCGGAACAACCCGGTTTCTTCTTTCAAAGAAGTTCTGCCTCTGTAGTTATGCTCGCACCGGGAAACGACGTAGCTAACGAAGGAACTTCCGCTCCTGTGGTTAATACAAAATCGAAAAGAGAAGAAGCCAATGGAGGAAGTTTCTCAACCTGTTAAACTCCTCGGAGGCAACGGTAGGAAATTCTGAAGTAGCAACACTTGCTGTTAATCCTTTACTTTACTCTCCTGTTAATCCTTACAGCATATAATACCCAATCCAAATGCATTTATTTTATTATCTTATTATAAGAAATCTTAATTTAAGATTAAAAATAAATAATTCAACATCCATCTACCCATATATCTCTTTTTTAAAATATTAAATTTTATTAAATACTCTGTAATTAAAAGAACAAAATTACAAAAAAGAAAAAAAAGCGAAATAAAGGGGTAGGGCCCATCAAGAGGCACACTCTTCTAGAAGTCATCACCATCATAGGCCAGATCCTCTTCAACCTTCTCCGCTGCTTCATCAGCAATGTGATCCTCCAACGCGTCAACGCCCTCCGCAATCGCGAGTCCACCCAACACTCCTGCAACCGCACCCACAGCCAATCCCGTCCCCATCCCTCCAAACTTGCTCTTCTTCTTCTCCTCCTCCTGCTGGTAACCATACCCGGTGCTCTGACCACCGTACGAACCCTGGCCGTAGCTCTGTTGACCGTAACCCGGTTGACCGTGGGGAGGTGCACTGTACCCGCCGTAAGGGTATCCACTGGGCGGCGCAGCCGTTTGGTAGTAAGGATTCGGTGGCGGCACGCCGTACGGCTGATCGTACTGGTAGTCTCTAGAACCAGCTGCTGGTGGTGGCACGCCGTACGGAGGTGCATGATACGGATCCGGCGCATAATAGCGCGGCTCCTTGATCATCACCTTGACATCGAGCTTTCCCTGAGGGCGACCGGAAGGACGCTTGAGCTTGAGCGTTCGGCTGCATCGCTCCCCGCGGCCGACTTCGTCGATGACTTCGCGGAGGTTGAGCCGAGCCGAGCCGATCAACGGCTTGGTATCCTCTTCTCGTCCGGCGTGAACGACATCGATGAAGAGGACGGTGTCGTCGTCGACGGGACCCGGCAAGGGGATAACCAGAGTGTCGTCCCAGACGGGAGACGTGTCGCCTTCTTCGTCCACCTTGGTGGAGCACTTGTTCTTGGGATCGACCCAAACGACGGCGTATGGGCGGGTCTTGCCGTTTCGCCAGTTGACGTTCTTGAGATCCTTGGCCGAGGAAATGGTTACCTCAACTTCGTAGCGAGACGCCATTGTTGGGAGAAAATGGGAATTTGAGTAAAAGCAACAGATCTCTATTGGTAAAATGCCTGGGGAAGATGTCGAGACTGGTGGGTATTTATAGGTAGAATGGTGGGTGGACTAGCAGTTTGAACAGTCGCCGGTGGTTAATAGTAGCCCATGGTTTTATGGATTTATTACCATTCATGTGTACATTTTTTCAGTGGAACAGGCAACAGGGAGATAAGGATGGAGGGGCATTTTGGTCAAATTCTATACATGGAAAGATGAAATAGCTTAGGGGCTAAGCATTGTCCATAAGTCAATATTTGACTGACACATGGCAGCTATTGATTCGGTAACACAGTCATCTCCGTACGAGCGTGCTGCACTGGATTGGAACGGGACTGTTCACGCGGGACGGGAAGTTTCGGAACGTAGAATTAGAAGACCTAACTAACATAATTGTTTCATTTTATATTTTAATCAGAAAATTTAAAAATAAAATTAAAAATATGTTTTTATTATTTTTATAAAAAAATATAAACTTATTTATATTATTACAATATCTAATTTGTTCCTGTCACATCAAAGCATATTAAAGTGAGGAATATTCCACGTAGGAAAACAGAAGTAAAGAATCATAGACGGCGTGAGATAGTACTACGCGGACTGAACACGCAGCTGATTATATATATATATATTTATTTATTTAAAAAAATCAGAGATATTACATAAAAATAAATATAAAATATGACGATCAAATTAAAAAAAAAAAAATAGACACTAGATTTTAAGAAGTATCATAATTGAGAGGACAATTTAGTAATTTGACAGAAAACAAAAACCCTAAACCCTTGCCTGTTAAAAAACGAAGGAAGAAACCCTAAAGCCCTCGACTATAAGTAGCATACTTCTCCTTCTTCGCCTCACCGTTAGTCTTTCCGATAATCTTCCTCTCCTAGGTTCCTCTCCTTTAAGTAGTTTCGCAGAGATGAGACCCCCTCAGAGAGGTAAGCAAACGTTGAAGTTTTAGTTTCTTATTTTTGTTTTATTATTTCGTATGCTTCTTAGGTTTTACGGTTGTGCTCCATTTTCTCAGTGGCTTGTCTGCATATCTTCTTTTGCTGTTTTTTTTTTTCTTTTTCCGTTTACTAGTATATGGAATATAAATTGCTTTAATAGTTACTGATATTAATGATTGCTATAGGCCGCGGTGGTGGTGGTGGGTTCAGGGGCAGAGGTGGTGGTGGTGTTGGTAGAGGTAGAGGAGGAGGTGGAAGAGGTGGCGACAGAGGGAGTGCCATGAAAGGCCGGGGTGGTGGCCGTGGAGGTCGCGATGGAGGAAGAGGTCGAGGCGGAGGACGTGGAGGAGGAATGAGGGGCGGAAACAAGGTCGTCATTGAGCCCCATAGACATGAAGGAGTTTTCATTGCTAAGGGGAAAGAAGATGCTCTTGTTACCAAAAATATGGTTCCTGGTGAAGCTGTCTACAATGAGAAGAGGATCTCCGTTCAGGTATTTTCTTTACATTTTAATTAAATATGTTTCAGCTTACCACACTTAAGTTTTTGAATTTGCATCAGTATGTATTGTATTTGTATAAACATATGTTTTCGGATGTAGTTTGAGTTCGTTTTTATGTTATTGATTGGTGTTTATAGATACCTGTAACTTACTTTGCGGAAGAATAATTGGGAATTGTTTTATATATAAAAAAATTAGTGTTTTGATTCAGAGTTTGCATAGAACTGATCGATGTATTGCATGCTGAGAAAATCATGATCATGGAATTGCTTTTGCTATGAGCAAAGAAATAACTATTTTTTTCTGAATTTAAAAGCATTTGATTATCTGATGTACTCGTAATTTCATATACAGAATGAAGATGGGACTAAAGTTGAATACAGAGTCTGGAATCCTTTCCGCTCTAAGTTGGCTGCTGCCATTGTTGGGGGTGTTGATAACATATGGATTGTAAGTTTCTTTCTCTTTTGTTTCCTATTTAAGCTATCGCATAAGCATGAGTATCGTAGTCTTTCAATGTTTTTCTCTTTCGCACTAAATATACTAACTTTTCGATTCCCTTTTTCTCTTAAAGAAACCTGGTGCCAAAGTGCTTTACCTTGGAGCTGCTTCTGGTACTACTGTCTCCCATGTGTCTGATGTTGTTGGCCCGGTAAGTGACAATTGATTGCTGTGTGATTTCCTTCTATTACATCTATATTGGACAAGTTGCTCACAAATGCTTTTGGTTTGGGTAGACTGGAGTGGTTTATGCAGTCGAATTTTCTCATAGAAGTGGTAGGGACTTGGTCAACATGGCTAAAAAGAGAACCAATGTTATTCCTATCATTGAGGATGCTAGACACCCTTCCAAGTACCGAATGCTTGTTGGAATGGTAGATGTGATATTTTCTGATGTTGCTCAGCCTGATCAGGTTTGCCTCTTCATAGTTTGGTTTATTGTTCTTCAAAGAAAATATGAATCTACTATGATTGGAAAATTTTCTTGTAAGTGCCTAAAAATGAAAGCTATATCTCTTGTGTAATTATTAGTGTGCTTCTTTTTACCTGCATATGATGAGATACTTGGATTCCCCTTCAAGACATCTTGGATGATGTTAATTCCAAGTTACTGATGCAGATAACTTGCCTAGTTTATTGGCCTCTAAAGTTTTCTCTACTCGAAGCAATTTTTACCCAGTTTTAAAATTTCCATTTCTGTTAGTAATGTGGCAATTGTAAAAATCATAATTTATAATACTTTTTGATGTTAAATGAATTTTTTTCCTCTCAAGTTTTTTATTATCTACATGTGATTGGTTTGGTTGTCTTCTCCAATTCTACTGAAATTAATTTTGATTTCGATCTGCATGTGAGGAAATACTTGGATTCCCCTTCAAGACAGTTTGGATGATGTGATTCCAGGTTTCTGATGCACCAATAAATTCTACTTCTCTTTGACTTCCATACAAGTTTTTCCTACTGTCTTAGTGGTAGGAGTAGCATAAGTCAGTGTCAATATTTTCTTGTGGGTGAAAGTTTTATTATATGCTAGATTCTAGTGCCACTTCGAGTTTTCCTTTATTTTTGTTACCCATTATTATTGAAGGTCGTAATAGCATCTTATGAAGGTCAAATGTTTTGCTTATTATCCCTTTTTTTTTTTCAAAATTATGTATTTTTTAAGGTTATTTTATTTTCTAGATTAAGATACTATGTGTTCTATTAATATTTGGCTTTCTAAGGGTTGATTACTGATGGTGATTTACGGGATGGCATGGTGGCATGTATGTTATTTTTTTATATGTAAAGCAAAAGGATACTTGTATTCTGTCACGTAATTTGTATATGATTGTGAATTTTATTTTTTTGTTTTGAAAGTGGATAGTAACACTATATTTAAAAAAAAAAAAAAGAAGTGGACAGTTATATCATATATTTGATATCTCTCATCTCTTGTTAAGGAAATATGTCAGTCTCTAGTGTTTTGTCCGCGAAAGTTTCAAGCTGCAGTTTTTCACTCTTCTGGTTTCTTAATGTTTCAGACTTGTAAATCTTTTCATTATTCACCGTTAATATTTGCTGTGCTCACCTTTGTGAGACAACCTGCTTTTGTTGACATTCTTTTATGCTAACCATGGAACCTAGTTTGCCTTCGTTTCAATTTTGAGGGGTTTCTGAATCTCATTGATTTGAATTTACCTGGCAGGCAAGAATTTTGGCACTTAATGCATCTTATTTTCTGAAAACTGGAGGGCATTTTGTGATCTCAATTAAGGTTAGTCCAACTCACTCCTAGTCAATTTTCATGCAGATTTTGATTTAATTGGATTGATAGTTTGGAGAAAGTTTGAAAATTTTGGTCTTCATTTTAAAAGGTTTCGGGGAACATGGTAAGGTGGTGTTTTGGTCTTCCAATGATTTGTTTCCTGCTACATGTAATTATGGTCTCCCAATGAGGCCGTGATAGTTAGTTTTTTTAGGTGAAGCTGATTTTCTTTGGTAGTTCTCATGTGCTATAGTTTGCTTCTCGTGAATTGGACGAAGCAAGTAGATGTAGATGTCAAAGCTTTTAATTATTTCTCCGTTGTTTCCATCTTTGTCAATCCTTTATCGAGTTAATTCTACAAATTAAACAATGTTTGCCTGAGTATTAACTCCCTTGGTTTGAAAATGATTTTCTTTTTCAACTGTTGTGATGTTTCACTGTTAGTTCTCTGATTTTCTTTTCATTTTCAATTACAATATATATTGTTGTGTGATAACTTCCTCAGCCTTTTGGGTTAAGATCAAGCATATATATTATTCTGTACAGACATATATTAAGTCTAGAAAATAATTATTCATATATTTTTGTTTAATTATTCCAGGCAAACTGTATAGATTCAACAGTTCCTGCGGAGGCTGTGTTCCAGAACGAAGTTAAGAAGCTGCAACAGGAACAGTTCAAGCCCGCAGAACAAGTCACCCTTGAACCATTTGAGCGAGACCATGCTTGTGTTGTCGGTGGCTACCGGATGCCGAAGAAACAGAAGGCTGCTGCTTAGGTTTTGTATGTATTTGGGTAGTTGTTATCTTGAGATGTATGATTAGTCGGACCCATTTAGGATTAATCAATCTTGATTTTGTCTGTGTAACTTTTCTTTTCAAGAATACTGGCAGAATTTATGAACTTGGAATGTGTGTGTTGCAATTATTGTCTACAACAGAGAGTTTCACCATATGTTGCTACTGTTTCGTTTCAGAG